GGGGGGGGACATCATTTTGAGTTTGGATCCAAATTTTTTATTATCGCTCTATCTCCAGAACCTTCTATGGTGATTCTGAAAGAATACTCAGCAGTAGTAGCTGAGCACCATCTAGTTCTTCTGGTCTCAAAGTCAAGTAGACTGAGCTCTGAGTCTTTTGGACTAATTGTCTATGTATATTTGACTTGTTTTCTTCACTCTTCTTTTCTACAGAAAGGGGGGAGGACCAATGATAATCACACCTTAGATGACTACTCACAAGTTTTTAAGACCTCAGTCAAACAGCCATGTTTTTGTGGCCTTTACTTTGTAGTGGTGTGGGTGTAGAAAGACAGACCACAGGTAGCAGATTTTATCTGCAAGTTCAGTGTTATGGGAAAAACCAATGGGGGGGGGGGGCAGAAGGAGGAATGGTGGCACTAGTTCAGCCGAAAGGAATAATATTGAACCAGAGCTCTGTAGGTGAGACGAAAAGACCACTCAAATTACCCACAGAAAGCATTGTGTTCTGGGGTCATGGTCAGATCATAAAAGACATCTTTGGGGCCCAAGAAGGGAAGATACCCAGAAAAGGCTGCCACAAAGGTATGTTTCTTTTGCACCCAGATCCAATTCCCTGTGCAGACCAGCCGTCCTCAAGGGAACCACCCAGCCTTCCAACTGGCCCCCAGCTTCTGAACCATACCTGCCTCAGCGAATCCCCCAGCACAGCACTCCCCACTGTGCTACCTTCTTCCCTGCCCATAACTGACTCTCCGCAAGGCCTGGTGGTGCCAGCACCCACCACTATGTCAGAGCCAGCAACAGAGACTTCTATCCAGGCAAGGAGTGCTGGGACCTCTCAAGGGCCAGGCAGAGAGCAGGAAATGCCCTCAACAGTTATGGACACCCTTGATATTCAGCATGCTGCACAGGCCCTTGGCACCAGCCAAGAACCCTGTGCCCAACATCTGGAAGATTTAACCTCAGTCCTGGAAGCCAGTGCTCAGGGGGAACCCCTGCCAACCTTAGTGTCTGAGCCTAGCCCTCCAAGCCTTGCCACCTCCCAGCTCTCTAGTCCCCCACTAGGGCCTGCCGCCCCTGCCCAGCTCCCTGCGGCCTTGGAATCTGATGGGGAAGGGCCGCCCCCCAGGGTGGGCTTTGTGGACAACACGATAAGGAGCCTGGACGAGAAGCTGCGCACCCTGCTCTACCAGGAACACATCCCCACATCTTCTGCCTCAGCGGGGACCCCGGTGGAGCTCGGAGACAGAGACTTCATGCTGGATACGCCCCCCTCAGTACCTGCTGACATGCTCCCAGGGCCTGCTCTGCTGCCCCAGCCATTGGTGAGTGGCAGTGTGCACCTGGCTGCGGGGTGGGGAAGTGGAAGAGCCTGAGAAGCTAAGAAATCCCCACTGACCACCCCAGGGTCCCATTGCTACCCCTACTGGCCTGCTTGCTCACAAGAACTTGCAGCAAATGCCAGTTGTAGGGCAGGACATCTAAAGATATAGACCAGGATGGGGTGGAGGCCAGCCTTTAGAAGCTATGGGAAGAAAAGGATGCATAAGTTCGCTTCTAAAGATATTAGCAAGTGAGACGCATGCTGTTTTCTTTTCCCCGTTGCTTCCTGAAGCAGGAAAAGTCGGAAATGGCACCAGAGCAAGTGAGTGTGCTGGAGCAGGAGCAGACTTCTCCAGGAACAGGTATTGAAATTGCGCTCCATGAGTTTGTCTGGGCAGGTTCACAGGGGAGCCGCCAACCCTTAATGCTGTTTCCCAAGTACCGCCTGTCATGTAGAGACACTGCCTTTTTGAAACGTGGCAGAAGTCATTATGATTCTAATGAAAACCCATTGAGTTCTACAATAAAGCAAGTGTTCACACGCATACAAGAGGGAGAATCTTCTGTCCACTGAATAAATAAGAACCCTTACTGGACAGTTAGGACATTGTTGAGAGCTGTGTTTTGGCCTTCCTGCACTTCCTGATGAATGAATGTTTTAAATATTCCCATTGCTTGCTTTTCCTTATTCCTTCAAAATCCCAGGGTTCTGATATATGTTGGATAGAGTGGGGCGTAGGCTTCTAGCAGCTAGATCGTAGGTTCCCAAACTTGTTTGTCCTACTGCCACCTTTACAGAAAAAAATATATATATTTATTATTCAATGCCTCCCTGGCAATGAAAACCTCTGGTACTATAACCCATAATCCAGGATAAAGTGTAGGTATCTGCTTTAGCAGTCTCCCTGGGGCACCAGGGGGCTGTATTGCCCATATGGGGAAATGCTGAGCTAGATGAAGCTGCAGGGGGCTGGGGCCATCTGCAAGGATCCTGGAAGCAGGACTTCAATTGCTGTCACTCCAAGGGTGGATATTTTGAGTGTCTGTGGAAACTTTTTGCATGGGTTCACATTCCGTGATCTGCATATCCCATGTCTCCAGCCCATGGGAGCTCATCTGACATTTTGAAGTGTGGTGTTCCTTCTCAGTCTGGAATTTTTTTTGGGGGGGGTGGTGGAGACATTGATTGGTGAGCTGAAAGTCAGCACCAACCTAAGGGAGTCTGTGGCAGGAATCTGGGTGTGAATTGCAGATCCCCATGCTTGGGCTGTGTTTACATAGCAAGGACTGATCCCCTGGCTGCTGCCTCCTCCTCCAGAAGCCATATTCTGAGAGGGTCTGGGGGATGGGCTCAAAGCTGATCCGTGCTTGAGGACCAGAGACTGCAGTGTTTAGCCTAAGGACATGAGGGACTGGAGGAAAAACTCAAAAACGCCTTGCAAGAGGACAAAGAGGAGGAATCATCTCCAGGGGTCCTACTGGAGCCTGCACTATGCTAGACTGCCTTCCTGTCCCATTCTGATCTCTCACACAAAGAAAATGAACTTCATGGAGGTTCAGTAGGCAAGCCATTCCCACAAGCACACCGCTCAGAGGGCAGGCCGAGGGCAGGAGTGCTGAAGAGACCGATTCTAGTTCAAAATGGGTGAGCTTTTTCTGGCACGCTGAGCTGTCTGGAAATAAGAGTCAAGCGTTGCCTACAAGTGTGAGATACATGACAGGGATTTGGATTGAATCTCACCAAGGATCTGGTTTGAGGTCGAGGCTCTCACAGTAGGCTTATGAACAAGAGACGTGCCTCCAGCAGGGCCTTCAGCGAACCCTCCCGGCATCGCAGGCAGCTCCATCGAAGCCGTAGGCCGGCCCCTACTTCCTGTGCCACCCCTTCCTCCCCCCGGGCACTGTGGCAATGCGCCCTTGGTCACCAGTCTCTGCCCTGTGAGGGTCTCAGCTGCTCCAGAGCTCCCACCCCCGACTCTTTCTGATTGTTCGCTCTGCAGAGGACACTGGGTCAAAGCCAAACCCTCTACCATCGAGTTGATTTACCCTCTAGGACAGAGTGGGACTGCTTTCACAAGAGTCTCCAAGGCTGTACATCTTTAAGGAAGCAGCCTGCCACATCTTTCTCGAGTGAAGTGACTGGTGGGCTCCATTGGCTAGCCTCCTGATGAGCAGCGGATCACTTTAACCACTGCAGACATTAGGGACGTGAATTAAAAATTACCATGTCACGCTGCCCCTCTGGGAGCCCCTGGATGGTGCACATGGTTAGTGCACTCTGCTGCTAGACCAGATGTTGGTGATTTGAGACTACCTAGAGATAACTTGGGAGAAAGCCCTGGTGATCTACTTCTTAAAACTCAGCCCTTGAAAACCCTAGGGAATACAGGTCGTCTCTGACACACGTGGGGTCACTAGTTTACCCCCACTCTCGAGATCAGAACACGGAGGCCGTCATCTACATTCTATGAAGTAGCCCTGCTCTAAGTGCCCCGGGACGAAGGCATTGCAGGAAAGCTTCATTTCCATAACCGCCGTGGTACCAGCAGCCCCTGCCCGGCAGTCCAGCATGCTGGTATCCCATTCAGGCCTTTTCCGCCCTTACTCCCCTCTCCCCCTGAGTAATGTTCTTGGTCTTCATGCACAGAGCTATCCCTCAGCAGCACCCAGGGTCCTGGCAAATGGGCAGCGCTGGACCTGACCTCTGTGCCCACCCCGCTCCAGGTAAGCGAAGGCATGTTCTCGGGAGAAACCTCCAGAGGAATCACTGAGACCTGCCTCCTCCTACTGCTTACCTTCGATCTTTTCCTTCCTGGCTTGCTCTCAAGGAGACCGCGGCTTTGGGGCCCCCCGTGCATTTGGAGTCCACAGACTGGCCCAACAAGACCCCCAGGGAGACCTTGATGGAGCCCACACCACACGCCACTGGAACACTAGCCACGGAGGTTGAGGCTGGCCACCCTCGGACCCATGGCTCCTTGGACTCAGGCTCCCCATGGAAGCGCCCGGGGCAGCAGAGCATCAGCTCACCAGCCAAAACCGTGGGCCGTTTCTCAGTAGTCAGCATGCAGGACGAGTGGACCATGGCCTCGCCTCACAGCCTGCGCTACTCAGCCCCACCTGACGTCTACCTGGACATGCTGCCTACCAGTCCCGAAGTGAAACTGGTGGTGCGGCGCGTGCAGACGGCCTCCTCTATTGAGATTGGTACCGGAGAGCCTATGTCCAGCGACTCCGGGGATGAGAGCCCGCGGAAGAGGCCCCCAGTACAGAAGCAAGCCTCCCTACCCAGCAGCAACAGTGTGGCTAGTGATTTCGTCAAGAAGGCCAGTGCCTTCCTGCATCGATCCTCAAGGACGGGCTCACTGGGCCCAGACACACCGAGCCGTCCCAGCATAAAGGTCCCTACCATCAGCGTCACCTCGTTTCACTCCCAGTCATCCTACATCAGCAGCGACAATGACTCAGAGTTCGAGGATGCTGACATAAAGAAGGAGCTGCAGAGCCTGCGTGAGAAGTACGTGTATAGACAGGGCATGAGTAGGTGCGGCTGGAGCTGCATGGTATGAGGGAGGCATGGTGGGCAGGGCTAGGTAAAACCAGGGCGAGTCTTTTCCAGTGGAGTTAAGGGATGTGAACAGCAGGGGAAGGACCCAGGATGACTTGGGTCCTTCCGAGGCTGGCTGGAAGTTCTCTCTCTGCTGGGCGGTCCCTTGTCTCCTCGCTATGCCTTCCTGCTGGACCCAGTCCTTTCTGTCCCCACCCTCTGCTGTAAAGTCTAGAGTGCTACTTCCACATCAACCTTCCTTGCCCTCATACTTTCACTCGGCACCTATTTATCCCAACCTCGCTATGGTCCAGGGTTCAAAAAGTATAGATACTCCTGAACTTTACCTAGGGGCAAGAGGCAGGTGCTGAGATAGGATGGATCCTGAATTTTCCAGTGAGAGAACAGCCAAGCATCTTTCAGGATAGAGGGGTTTTGACCTGGATGTCCTTTGGGCTCAAAAACCGCCACAAATCGAAGATCTGGTTCCTAACTCCTCCTTCCTAGCAGGTGGCCGCTTGGAGTCAAACATCCTTTGCTCCTCTCACGTGTTCGCTGCCATGGAGTTGAAGCTAAATCCTGGTGACCTCCAGCACAATGGGACTGCACTGTTGTGACCCATAGAGTTTTCATTGGCTGATCGTTGGCAGTAGGTCACCAGGCCTTTCTTCCTGTTCTGAAAGCCCTGCTGAAATCTCTTTAGCATCCTAGGATGAAACCCCCCACTGACAGCCAGGTGGTTGGTGGCTGCAGATGAGGTGCACTGGATGCGACTCGACCCCCTGCATGGAAGGTGGTGATTCCAGCGCTGAACCACTACTACCCTGCTCTCTCTGCCCACGAACCCTCTGTTACGGATATCTAAGTGTGCTCCCTTGTCCTAGGGCTACACCAAGACCAAGGGGCGGGGGGTGGTGGGCCGTGACAAGCTGTAGATACCAGAGATTACAAGAAGAAAGTGCTGGATATGCATGAACGTTGTCTCAGAGGTGCTCAGAAAGGCCTGGTGTGGTCTGGCAGGAGGATCAGTAGGAGTTCCCCAGTAGGCACCACTTGGAAACTCCCATGGCTAAGGCAAGGGCTTTGCCAATACTCTGAGCGCCACCTTCCCCACTCCTGCCATGGGCTTCATGTGGGCTTGTCTCCCTGGGCTCAGCTGGTATAGCAGGAGCAGGGACGCAGTCCAAGAGTAGGTCTGAACGCTGGGCCGCGGCTGTGCTGACTGCCACAAGGACAAAGGATGCAGAAGAGTCAGGATGTGAGAAAATTCACAGCAGATGCCTTTGTACACAGGTGGGGTGGATGGTCTGCCCAGCCGGGAAGCCTGGGTGAAATGGGAACACAGGAGTGGGAAAAAGTCACTCCAAGGGGCCCTTGAAACGAAGAGGCAGTGATCCCTGTAGGCAGGAACAAGAGGAAACGAGGCCAGCATGAGTAAGCCCCAGCTTTTTCTTACAGTCCTGGAACCCATCGAGCCCGTGAAAGGGGTGAAGAGCATTTTGAATTTAAATTTAGAAGGCCCGGTTACATCCAACTGGAGATAGTGGTTCTCAAGCCTCGGCATGTATTTGAGCCCCCTGGAGACCCTCAAACACAGATTGCCGGGCCTCATCCCAGAGCAGCTGCTGCAGGAAGAAGATCCGACCAGAGTCCATGTGTTTTTTTCCGAGCTCCCAGAAAGCTGGCACTCGGTCCAGCCCTTTGCTTTGAGAAGCACCACGGCAGACTGCAGGCCCTGCACCTTGAGAGCAGGCAAGGGCCCAGCTCAGAGGGAGCAGAGGAGCGGCTCCCAGAGTCGCAACTGTGCTGCCATGCTCCCGAGCACGATTGCTGAGGGAGGGTGGAAGGAAGGAAGCAGTAGCCAGGCTGGGCTTTGGGGAACACACACCTTAAAATGGAGCTCTGCTCTGAAGTTATTCTCAATCAGATGCTCGATCGATCCCGTATCCCCCACGGGTGCACAGCTCACGGTCTTGAAAAGCAGACACTTTCCTAAAACCCATCAGAAGCAACAATGTTCTCCTGGTTGCCCGGGCATTTGCAGAGAAAGCCACTCAAGGTTTAGGGGGGAGTTTTGGTTTTGTTTCTATCTTGCTTAAGAAAGTTATTTCCCTAAAACAAACCTGGAAGATATTGTAAATGAAGTCACAACTTTCTTCCATGAAAAACATCTGGTATCCTGACCTTAACAGAGAAGCTCAGGACTTACAGGATTTACCGCCCCCAAGCTGAGAGCTGTGTGGCCATCTGACCCCAGCCACCGAAGCACCCTCGGGCTAGGTCAACCCGATACCCCCACCCTAACTACTCCCCTTAGGTATGGAATAACCATACCTCACAGAGCTCACTAGAAACTCCATCCTAGCAAGGACAGAAGTTTTCCTGAAACAGAAAAAGCTATAATTGAAGGTTATAGGTAGACATTGAAGTCCAGGAGGGGTCCCAACTGAGGCCCTAGCTAATAGTCTCAGCATCTTTATTTTATTTTAATTTTAGTAGTTTTCTTTATATAGTATTCACATGTCATACACTTCCATAGTTAAATCGCTTTTTGAAAGAATTGTATATCCATCATCACAATCAGTTCTAATGCTCCCTCCCTCCTCCCACATTCATTGTTTGCTCTCCAAATCCCCTCACCCTCCCCACTCCGTACACCCCCACTTCTCCCATAAGCCATTGGATCAGGTATTGTTTCCACACATCCACTCCGCCTGTGCTTCACAAACTGGGAAGCCCAACACAAACAATAAGAAAAAAAAACCAAAACAAAATGACAAGAAGAAAATCATAATAATATAAAGATAAAAATAAAGAGTAGGAAAGAAAAGATGACCATCATTATTTGAAAAGCCAGAGAAGAAATTCCTGTCATGAAACATGTAAGGAATACTTGAGCCTAGAGCAAATATATGTTGGGTCAAGAGGGAGGTCAGCGGACCAAGTATCCTATTATACCGTGGTTCAATCTACCATAATCAAGTTTGCAATAATCTCTGCTTGAGTGGGAAGCTGTTTGAGTCCTTCGTCTGTGGATAGAGGATTTGCCAGGGGCTAAATCTGACTTGCTACTCTGCAGAAGGATTTTGGGTTCCCACTTCCTCCTTAGCTTTGTGCAAATTGGGTGCTCATAATTTAAGCTCTGATATTTTCCCCTTCATCATATTTGGATTTTGTTATTGTCATCTTTGGATCACACAAGTTGGTGTGCTCATTCAATGTGGACCTAGTAGAAGGCTCACTTATACGGAGGTTTGTTTGCATACAAGCCGTAAGACACCAGACACTATACCAGCTGATAGCCGGACACCATCTGCTTTCTTCACCACACTTCGCTGTAGCACCTTTATCCTCAGTGACCTCTCTATGAAGTTTAACATTGAGCAGGGCCATGTTGTAAGAACTAACTGTTCTTACATGGGCTGGAATTAAACAGGAGCCCAGAATCGATTTGTTGGTCTTGGGTAAAGAACAACTCCGGTTCCCTTTGGCTGTCTTATTATGACAAAAACAAAAACCAACCAACTAACAAAAGGCAGAAAAATAGAAAACCAAAGAAACAAAAAAGGAAAACATTGGCAAACATCCCCTTGGGGTATAAGACGATTGCATTGATAACATCAATAATTTATCCAATGACATAGAATTTAAGGTACTGTTGATAATGGGGTTTTTTTTGCAAGTATAGTTCAACAGCAAGCTGCAATGTGTTCATTGTTGCTTTGTGCAGATTGATTTCTTAATTGTCTGAGCTCTGTTTACACTGAGCATGGGGATTGGTGCTGGGGGAATTTTCCTGTATCATTTCTTATAAGAGCAGATCCTTGCCTAGGAGATGAAAACCTGTCATATTATTAATGTAAGGGAGCACTGAGGTACTAACTACATGGTGTTTCTGGGTCCCGTTTCATTGGATACCCACTAGCCTCAACATCTCAAGGGAGCACACTCACTCTCCCCAAAACAGGTGTTCACTCTCACCAAGCAGGAAACTCTTCAACCACGAAATACTCCCCAACAACCCCTGGAACAGAGTACCAGGGCTGGCACAACTATTCAACCGTCTTTCTGCCAGCCAGGACAACTTGGCTGTGTTTTCTCCGCTAAACAATCCCTAAGTGCAGCTGACAGTTCTGCTCCATTTCTGTGTAGCTCTGCTACTCCTTACACCACTCTTAACCAGGCCTGGGAGGGTTTCCAGCGCAGAGCTTCTGTGTCCAAAGGCCACAACATCCCTCTTAACCCTCAGGAACTTGGAAGCCCCACCCACATCTAAGGCTCAATGTTCTATGGCTTTTATAGGCCAGTCCACCTCTGTTCCTTTGCCATTGCCAAAGACTTGCCAAAGCCGGCAAAATACCAGACTCTCACAGGCAAGCAACAACTTATAAAACCTGTAGAGGTCCGTTTCCAAAAGCAAAGGTCCAGAGGGCATACATGGGAGCTCACAGCACCACAGGCCGTATGGGAGATTTCACACTTCATGCCTGTTACTATCTTGGGCTTTTATGCTAAGCATGAATATAAACGTCAATTCTTCCTCCATTAAAAAACAATGGCAGTGGTGACAATTCGGGGTGTTTGAAGGGGTGGGGTGGGGGGGGTGGGCACAGCGTGGAGGTTGCGATTCAGTTTGCTTTCAGTGTACTGGAAAGATTCATGGAAAGGCTGCCCACCACTCCTCTGCCCACCCTTACCCTGACTTTACAGCTAGTTTTTGTGGAAAGGTTTAAATTTTAAAGGGGTGACTGGGGAAACCTGCCTGCCTGCCGGCCTCTCTCTTCCTGCTTCCTCCTCCAGGCACCTAAAGGAGATTTCAGAGCTGCAGACCCAGCAAAAGCAGGAAATCGAGGCCCTCTACCGCCGCCTGGGCAAGCCGCTGCCCCCCAATGTGGGTCTGTTCCACACAGCACCCCCTACTGGCCGCCGGAGAAAAACCAGCAAGGGCAAACTGAAGGCGGGGAAGCTACTCAACCCCCTGGTACAGCAGCTCAAGGTCGTGGCATCCAGCACAGGTCGGCATGGCTTCCTCTTGGCTGGCCTGTGGGGCAGGGCTGGGTAGAAATGCTTCCTGGGAGGTGATGTGTGGCACCCCAGTGAGCCTGGGAAAGGAGGCACAGAGTGGCTGTGGCATTCTCCAGGCCCTGGGAGAGGATCGGAGGCTTCTTCCCAAGTTTCCTTTTCTTCTAGCTGAAAGAGACATTGTAGGTCGGGGCAGGCCGGGGCCTCGTCTCTGTGTGGAGAGAGAGAGGTTTGTAAAAGGCAGAGACCAGTCTGCATGGTTTCTGCAGAGCTGGACCCCCTGCTGCTCACTCCTGTGGGACAGAACCGAGGTCAGACCTCTTCCTCTGCCTTCATTCCAGTGGTCTGTGTCTGAGGGCCCTGAGATAGGTAGGATGATGAGTGAGGAGCTTCAGCTCTCTGTGTGATGACAACCCACGAGTAAGTCCGCTGGCCTGTCCTCCAAGCCGCAAGAGACCAGCATCTAATATTTCAGGGGTCTCCTAAGCTCGCCTGTGGCTACTCCTGCTCTGCTGGCAGCAGTGCCAGGACTCTGCTGATACTGGGTACAGGAGCCCAAGCCACTGAGGGGCAGTTCGCAGCGCTCTTGTGCCAAGCCCTTCTGTCTGTGTTGCTGGGAGTGTGTAGTCAGCACGCCCAGGAATGCGTGAGGGTTGTCACTTAGGTGCCAGTTCTCCTCAGGACCGGCTCTGCAGCTAGCAGGGGGACCAAGAGATGGCACACACAGGCCCACTTTGCATCTCCGTGCAAACGACAGCAAATCACAGAATGAGAATTTCTCACAGAATCAGAATTTCTGACTGCAGAATTGTGACTGGTGGGGAGACTGTGACCACTCTTCTCATCTTCCCAACACTGCACCGAGGGGATGGGGCTGCGTGCCCATTGGATGTTGGGGACTCGGCGGCCCAAGGACAAGACAGCTTCCCCAAGGTCACCCAGCAAACAGCAGGGGGCCAAAGACCAGCACTGCCCTGGCTCTCCCGCCAGTGGTGCCTCATCGTGCCTGTCACCCTCTCTCCTCGCCCAGGTCATTTGTCAGACTGCAGCAGAGGCCCTCCTGCTAAGGACCCCACCCAAGGGGGAGCAGGGCCTGCTGCAGAAAGCCCAGCGGTGCCCCCGGCTCCAGACCCAGGTGGCAAGGCAGTCCACACCCAGCAGCCCTGCTCCGTGAGAGCCTCCCTGTCTTCCGACATCTGCTCCGGCTTAGCCAGTGATGGAGTCGGAGCGCCTGGCCAAGGTGATTCCCAGCTTTCCCCTCTCCAGCATGTTCTAGCCCAGGGCGTCAGTGGTGTCCCCAGGAGTGCACCAGTGTATAGAGGAAGATAGGGATGCATCTAGTCTGCTGAGTGACCCCCGAAACTCTCCTTTGAACACAAAGAATGTTGCTGCCCAACGATCACCCATTCTTGTTATGAGGGGCTCCAAGGGAGGCCATGCTTGGCTAGCATGGGCCCCGGGGAGCCCCCAGGACCCTGAGGTCGTGCCGAATGACCAGGAGAGGAGTCAGCTAGGGGAGTCAGGCAGAGCACCACTCCCTTTGGTTGCGACTGTTGCTTGTCCCTGGCTCACCGACCCTGACCATCCCCGGAGTGGAGCCAGCCGAGTTTTAAACACCTGGGCCTTCTGCTCAGGAAGGTGGCTTGTAGGAAGGCCAGGTGGTTGAGGCGGGAGATTAACCTTGAGATGGAAATGCTCTCTCTTCAGCGCTGCCATGGGTGATTGCAGCTGCTTGATAAAGTGCTCACCCACTCTCTTCACCACCTCTATCCAAAGAAAACTTTGTGATTCTGATGCAGGTGCCACCCACCCCACCCCACCTCACCTCGGGGAGCTTGCTTCTCTTGTGCTCCTACTGTTGCCTCCTTCCCATTATGTGGTCAGGGGCTTTGGTCCTCTGGGCTGAGCTAGGTGCAGCCCTGGAGGTTAAGTAACACAGCTGATGTGACTGGTGGTGTGGTAGGACGTAGAGTCGCAGTGACTTATACTTGATGAGTGTCTCTTTGTTTTCTTCCCTTTATATTCATTTGCAGGCTGGACGGTTGCCCACCAAACGTCTGAGAGAGTGGCCTATAAATCTAGTAGCAAACCTCGTGCCCGATTCCTCAGTGGACCTGTGTCTTTGTCCATCTGTCTGTATTTGTTCTTTTGTATTTTATCACCTCCTATCCCTTGGTTTCTCCCCCTTTCTATCTTCATTGGCACCTTTGATGCGTTTGGCAGGTGCCCCCCCTCGCCCTTTCCCCATGAAGCTCACTCATCACTCTCAAACGGAACAGTCCCAAGCCTCATCCTTTGGATGATGGCTTTCTTTCTGTCGACAGAGACGTGTGTGCATGCTTCTACCCGTGTCTGGGCACCAGAGCACGTGCAAACACCCTGCCTCTTGGCCAGGGCACTCCATCTCTCAGACCTACCAAGGCCCTTTGTATTTTGTCACTCATTTTTTCCATTTTTTTTATGTTGGACGTAGTTTTATTTTATTTTTTTCCTGTTGCAATTGTGGCAAATATACATGTCCGCTGTCCCCAGTTCCAGCGACAACAAAAAGACAACCCCAACCATCTCTAGACGCATGGTGTTTTTCACACATGTTTGGACTATGAAGACATGCATGTAGCAAGCCGATACAATTCTAGAAGGTCACTGGAGGGTATAACTTCTGTACCAGGGCTGTATTACAACAACTTACAGTACTGTTTCTCCCTATTGCCCCACTTCCTGCATGTGGGAATGCTGAGGGGACGGTGCTCCAGCTAGAACGTCCTAGAATGCCTGCTTCTGCCCTGATTGGAGATCTGACTCCCTGCCTGCCCTCTGGGTTGCCTCCCGCGCCCTCCAACCCTAAAAGAGGTGATTGCCAACCGAGAGCCATGGCTCTTCCTACCGAGGAATTCTGGCCCTCTGCCCCATCCCCGAGTCTTCTAGCTGGAGCACTTCACTCAGTGTATTTTCCTATGACCTCATGTGACCTCAGAGAAGAAGTCAATGCAGCAGTTCCTTAAATCTCTTCCTTACACCCACTTCCCATCTTCTTCAGACACTTTGCAACATCCCCGTTATTCCATGTTAAGCAATGGTGCCCCTACATGGGGCCATTCCCAGCTGTGCTGTTCCTTTTTAACCCTCAGAATGATTGGCAAACTAATCCAAAATGGTAGCGTTTTCAGGTTTTTATTTTTAAACAGAGAAAAATAAGCTTTTCAATCAGATGGACATGCGGGTTTGGGGCGCATGGCTTTTTGCTTGTACAATAAAGATACATTGTCCTTGTGGGGACCCAGAGGCCATGTCCACAGCAGACACCCATAAGTCAAGTGTGCATTCACATCCACCTGGCCACCCCATCTGAGTCCACGTGGCTCATCATCCTCCAGGCCAGACAGATCAAAGGCACAAGGACCACTTAGAAAGAGTTCATACGCTGCAGCATTTCCACGTTGCGACGAATGGCTTCTTACCCACTGAGTTGGGTGTCCCACGCTAGCAGCCTTCGGTCGATGGTTAGCGGAGTTGTGGGAAGGAATGGAGAGACTCTCAGTTACAAGGTTCTCTGGAAGCCCCTCTGCTTCATGGACCTGGCCCAGCGCCCCTGCTCACCCACCTAACATGTACGTGTCCTTCCCAGGGGCTGTGAGTGCCGGCCTCCTTGGGGGGATCGCAGGTCTTGTGGGCCCTGGGACCGTGACATCTGCAGGGCAGACAGTGCCTGCTTTCACTGCTGGGGGCTCCTAGGCCTTATGGGAAGCAAAGCAAAGCAGACAGGCGTGTTCCTAGAAACTGGGTGACAGCACCAGCAGAAGTCGCACGACACACTGCTGAGATTGTAGTCACTCTACCTTGCCACTCACTCGTACTGTGGTGAAGGGTTTTCATTAATTTACCATTCATGATCATTCTGAGATTTTTAAAAATGTATTAATTGAGCCAGGCATAGGCAAAAGACTCACTCTTTTCTCTGTGGACAGGAAGAAAAGAGGGAAAGCAAGGCTTAGGAGCCCCAGGCAGGTCTGGGCCCCGATGAGGGCACCGCTCGGGCGGCGGGCCCTGCACACTTCCTGGACTGGCAGGCAGTCATTGGCTTGGTTACAGTGCTCAGATGCTGTTGCTGGTGTTCCCAGCCCTACCTCTTCTAGGCAGGTTGTGGTTGAGTTGTTCTTCTCTGGTTGTGTCCTTGCCCTGGGCGCCTCTTCTGTGCAGCTTTGTGGACTCAGAGAGTATGCAAACTTGGCCCATAGTCTGAGGCCTCCTCCCCTAACTCTGCTGCTCCACTGGGAAGTGGCTTGGACTCCCTTGTGTTCCCAGAACTGATTCCCGAACAGTACCATGGCACCAGACCTATGTGCTCTGGAAGTCAAGGACTTTCATTGAGTGCTCTATGCTCACTCCTAGGCTAACCCTGTCAAGGACTGGGCTTCAAGCGAAGGGGACTGTGGCCTTGACACTTCAGAAGACTGAAGATGACCATGAAGAATGGGGCTAAGCTGACAGCTCCAAAGTTACAGTCTCAGGAACTCACATGGGCAGTTCGACCTATCCTACCTATCCTATGAGTCAGGATCAACTCAATGGCAGGGCTTTGTATGTGTATATATATATATAACTTTGTATGTGTGTATTCATTTAACTACCTTGAGATAGAGAGATAGATACTCTCAAGGTAGTTAAATGAAAATGGGATATATGTATATGTATCCCATTTTCATTTAATTACCTTGATTTGTGGCACCCCTGCTTCCTGAAAGAGAATAGACACCATTCAAGGAAATGGTTTTAACTCTGAAGTCTAGAAAGCTCATGGTTCTAGGAAGCGCAGAGATGAAACATCTTGGACAGGGGAATCAAGGCTGGGGCTGAGAAAGCTAGGGTTGCCAGGAGCCTCTGTGCCCAGTGTGGAGCTACATCAGATTATCAGACAATTCTGGGACGTTCCTTGGTGTGGAGGCCCTTGGAGCCAGACCATGCTGACCAGGAGGAGGCATTTTAGACAGCATGACCACTTTCCTCTCTCCATGAAGCGGAGCGCCTGGAGGGCAGTCACTGTGTCTGGGAATGTTGTGCGCAACAGGCAGGACAGTCCCTGGGAAAGACACAGACTTCACTGGGCGACAGAAACCTTGCAGCCTGCTTCTCTCTGCCCTCGACCTCGTGCACATGTGCCACATGACCATGAACACTGATGATACAAGATCCCTGCCCAGTGGTTACACAGGGTTAGTCAGGAGAACACAGGGTCCTGAAGATCTCGGGAAAAGTGACCTAAAAGGAGCAACATGGAATCCTGGGTTGTTAGTATCCATCAGAATCTGTTGTCCAGCCCCTCTGGCCTCCCTTCACTTTATCTCATTGAACCAGAAGTCAACAGTGATGTCTTTCCTCCCGCGTGGGAAGCGTTTCATGTGGCACATGTCTATCGGCAGCATCATGGACACCACCCACCTGCTGGGGAGATGTATGTGTTGCTAGGATGCTAAACAGGTTCCAGCAAAGCGACCAGACAAAGGAGAAAAGCCGGGGAGCTGTTTCTGACAATCAGCCCATGAAAACCCTATGCATCACAAGAGTCTGATGTACAGTCCCTCATGGGGATGGCACAGGACTGGACAGGATTGCTTTATTCTCTTGCACCTTGGAAGCTGGCTGGACAGCAGATAACTACAGCACTGCAACAGCAAGCCTCCACATCCTGTCCCTGGGGGCGTTTAGTGCTCCAGGACCTTCTTGCTTATCCCCATCCATCTCAGCTTCCCTCTTGTTTTCACCTCTGAGCAGTATCTAACCTTCCTGAAATGGTCGCAGAGCACATAGTTGAGGGATCTTAGCAGCCTTCCCGAGATCTTTGTGCAGTGTGATGAGGGATGGGATACCTGTGGGGGTGGTTCGAAGCTGCACAGGACCCCTGCCCCCTTTGACGTTCATCATGCCTTGTGGCCCTGGCGCATGTAGGTGTGACCACCACCATGTGGGGTCACTGGGAGATGAATGTGCCATGAATCCAGTACTAAATCGTGCCTAGGTGAGTTGAATCAAGCCCTGTCTCCACTTACTTCTTCATGACAATGTCCAGGACTGTCCTGAGAGCCGCGTGGCTTAATCTGTGGAAGCACTAACTGGTGCTTTGGCAACAGCACACACCATTTCCCTCCGGTGCCAGAAACAGGCATCCACTGTCTAGGCCAGGGTCAAAATGGAGCTGCTGGAAATGAATTTAGTTCATCGTGGAGATGGACAAGGGAGACACTTGGCTTAAATGTGGGGCCAGTCCTCTGAGGAGGGTGGTGGCCTGAGCTACCTGCCGGGAGTAAACTGGCCTTGCAGTTTCCCAGGAGACGCCCCTTGCTGGCCACCGGGTGAACTTCATCAATACCTGAACACAGGCATAGAAAGCAAACGTGGTGAATTGCTCAGGGCCTGGCTTGCTTTCTAAGCAACCGGGACCAGTCAAATGTTCCAGGTTTGGAGAACTCATACACTGTGACATCCTCTGCACAACTAGCCAAGGGTTGAGCCATGATGTTCAGGCAAGGAAAGAGTGGGACTGTCTGTTGACATCAAGAAGCCTCTGTCTGTGTCTGCCCTGGTGACCCCACTCTCCTGGCCAACTGAAGGGCAAAGAACGGAGCAAGACTTCACTAGAGTGTGGCTTGAGACTTGGATGGCCTATGGGCTTCACATGGGGCCAATAGCTAGAGATGAGACCACCTAAAATCTGTTTGACGGATGGGTCTTCTTCAGACATCTGCTGGACAAGACATAGAAAAGATTCACTTTAGGAATGGCACCAACCATCGCCTCGGGAGAGGTGCAAATATACATACTCTCTGCTTGATTCGGACTCATAGCTCCCTATAGGCCAGGGTCGAACTGCCCCCTGTGAATTTCTGAGACGGTAAGCCGTTATGGCAGTAGAAGGGCCGTTCTTTCTCCCACAGAGCAGCTGGTGGTTTTGAACTGCTGGCCTTAGGGTTAGCAGCCCAATGCACAACCACTATGCCACCAGGCCTCCTGGGGAATTTACTAAATCTCCAAAGAGCTGTCTCCAGCCCCACTGCCTGAACCCTCAGGGAAAGCTTGGCTGAAGTGGCTGTGGCTTGTTGTGAAGGCCTTTGGGTCAGGGTCGCAGGAAACCCTGCAAAAACATCTTGGCTTTCTCACGGAAACCAGAAGCCCAAAATATCAGTGGAAGTTGTTCCTCGTGTTGGTATGACTTGTTTTAAAATTCCTGCCTTGTGACATCATGGTGCAGGAGCCTGTGCGGTTTCTTACCGGGGAGGGATGTGAGCCAGGTAGAGTGGGGCTTTTCAAGCAAGGATCTGCCAAGGGGTGAGAGATGCCCAAGGCGGGGCTTAGGCAATGTAGGGTAGCTCCAGGGTAATCTCAGGGCCTTCCTGGAGATGGGTAGGGCTCTGGTATGTGGAAAGGCCCCTGGTCCCAGGTAGGCAGTGACTACCTGACAGAACTATACCTGACCTCCGTGTCAAGAGGCCAGCATCCCTCATAGTTTGTATGTATAGAGCCACCTGCTCATCAGGGCCACAGTGGCCCATACCCCTGGTCATCCCAAAGCCTATGCACAAGAAAGAGCATTACCACCTCTATTGACAACAACAGAACATGGTGCCCTGTTGAGTCTGTCAGTCTCCCCAGAATGTTGAGTGTATGTCTCAGCATTACACATGGACGAGGACTCCCTCTAGTGGCTTCAGTTGGGTAGCTAGGCCACAGAAGGGCCTGGTCTGCCTTTGTGTCCCCCGTTAACTTGATAGGCATTAGAGCTAAACGCAGAGCATCTGGTTCTGCCAGACAATCGGGCTCCATGGCCCAGCGCAGTAAGCAGTCGCTCAGTCTTTAGGCTGTCAGTTCAGGACTGTTGCCGTCTTGAAGAGACACAGCACCACTGAAGTGAGAGCGGAGGTGGTCACTCAGCCCTGTGCCTTGGCACCCGCCATGTAAAATTCATGTACAGTCTCAGCCTATAGGATACAAACCACAGCTTCCTAGCCATCCTGCAGCTAGCCCCAGAGTACTCTTCTTCATTCCTGGTGGGGCCTCATCTCACACAGACTAATAGAGGACTCCCCACTTCTCACTAGCATCAGCATTCCTGGCTATCTCCTGCCTGGTCCTGCACTTTAATTGACACTTGAAAGACCCCTTACCTTTTCCCTGAGTGAGACACAGAGAATATTGTAAGAAATGGACTTGTTTTAAAAGCTAACTCAGCTTAAGCTAGATATAAAGGTTCAGAAAGCACAGCTCTTCCCTGTACTAAGAAGTCTCCCAAGGAAGCTGAGCTGACAGTCCCCAAACGGCAGGAAGTGAAAACCTTCCTCGCTAATAAAGGTGCATGCCACCAGTTGCTATTACGTTTCCAGCAGTAAAGAAACAGCCCTTTCTACCCTTAGGTAGAAATAGCCCTTTCCATTCCAGACTGAGGGAGGCAGGCAGGAAGTCTCCAATGCTGTGCGATTCTGCCCTCAGGACGCACATCCACCTGAGGGGAAATAGAGTGGAGGGTCAGAGATAGTCACCATGTGAGCCCTCCCCACATCTGAAGTGGTGTGTGGTTGGCATTCACAGCATTGGCATCTCCTCAGGAAGCTCCTCCCATCACCCCAAATCTACAAAAGTGTGGGATGGGACAGGCATTTGCAGTGTTGGGTTTTCCTCAAGAAACTCTTCCAGAGGAGGGAGTGGAGGGTGAGTGTCCATCCTTGGAAAGCCTTTCGATGGGGAAGTATGGAGTAGACATGCACGGATGCTGTGGTGAGCTCTTGTAAGCAGATTTTGGGTGCTCCTGGGCCATGCTGGGTGACCTTGGGGAAAGTCCAAGCCTGTCCTTGCCAGAAATTCAACCCCATCTCTTGTCTGTGTGCTTAAAAACCCAGTTACCACAACTGACAACCTGGGGAGTTAGACTCCCTGCCATGGATTCATTTTCCGACTCACAGTGGCCCTACAGGACAGAGGAGAATGCCCTGTGGCTTCCGGAGACTAAATCTTCCCAGGAGTAGGAACCTTTGTCTTTCTCCTGTGGAGCAGATTGTTTCGAACTGCTGACCTTGCTGTTGGCAGCCCAGTGCATAACCGATATACCACCAGGGCCCCTGGGGAGTAATACATCCATAGCTTTCCGTTGTGGTCCAAGCACTCGGAGGTGGAATGGTCTCAATGACAATGCCACCCAAGAAGGGGCCTGAAGACCACATGGCAGGAACACCTAACATAAGGAACACTCACATTTCCCCCCTTGGTGACAGTACCGACTGATGTAAGTCAGTGCGCCAAGACCCTGGACTGGCCTCTACCCTGCAAAACAATGTATCATTTTGGACTTGACCAACTGCGGCACGAGGCTCCGCAGCCCGGCAGAGCCTGCGCCTGGTCCCCGCAGGGCCCCTCAGGGACAGTCGGGTTTTTCCTGCCTCAACCAGGGGGACTCCTAAGAGCCTTCTGTCTGAAAGCCAACCATTGTTATCTGCCTTTTTCTTTATTTCTTTTCTTTTCTTTTCTTTTTTTTTTAATATGCTTCTAGAGACAAACACTTCAATCTGAAGTTTGGAAAGCTTGAACTTGGCATCTATTCCTCCTCAAAAAAGCTTGTATTAACTGCACACTAACTCGGGGCTGCCCGGTCCTTTCTGGTTGGGGGTTGGGGGAGGTGTCTTCTTCTCTCTGAACTGCTGACTTTTTGTCTGTTCTTCCTTGCATAAAGATGACTTGTGCTTAATATGCTAGCTTGTCCCGAAAGTATGGACTGCCCACCTAACTGTGTGTCTTCTATCGTTTTTTTCTTCCCTTGCAGGGTCAGCCCTGAAACGTCTCTGCCTAGGCAAAGAGCACAGCAGTAGTAACTATCTGGGTTTCTTACCTGCTTTGCATTCTCTCCATCGCATGGGCTGTAGATAGCTAGAGAGCACTGGGGCTTCCTCCCGCCTGAGAACACAGAGGCAGGGCCGGCCAGCACGGTGACTGCTCCAGCCAGGCCTCCCTTTGCCAGCCACTTGCTTGACTTCTGCCTGTGGAGCAGCTGCCCCGATGCTCCCTGCAGCCATTCGCACCCCATGGCTCCTAAAGTCTGCAGTCTCTTCCCGTCACACTTTCCAGACTCATCCTGCTTTTGAACATCCAGACTCCCAGTCATGAATTGGTCCTGTTCCATCTCCTTGGCGTGCTGAAACGGAGTGCTTCCTAAGAGGAGAGCGGTCCTGGATCCCTTGGGCCCCTCACCTCTCTCTTTTGTGCGCTTCCTCACACTCCCCTCCCCGCCTTCCCCGCTTCTCCTTTCTGGCTGAAATAACTCCATGTAAGATCTCATCACTAATTTTTAGGTGTCTGTACCTATGCTTTTTCCATCGCTGTCCGCTAAAGTAGATTACATTTCTAAACCGTTTGTTTGAAGAGATGGTCATTAGCTTATATATATATATTTTTTAATGTGGAAAGGTCAAAATGTTTTTCATTCAAAATTGCAAACCAGAAATTATGTGTGTGAGGGGGCTAGAGGAGGCACAGTACAAGTCCTATTGGGGTCATTGAAATAGTCAATCAACTAGCCACTCCGGCCGCCTTGCTGTGCAGCACACAGAGTAGCCTTCCAGCCTGCAGTAGTCGGAGTCCCCAGGTGCCCTGGTCAGGGAAAAGGACACCTGTGTCTTAAATGCCCCCAAACCCGGAGTCATTAACATTCATGGACTGCCCTGGAATAATCTTTAAACCGTAAGCCTAAAGTATCCCCTGACGTCTTCTTAAAATCAAACAAAAGTCTAGCTCAATTATTTTAAGAGGCCTGCTTAGAGCACTGTGCTCTTTTAAGAACTATCTATATGGTATCAAAGTACAAACTGCAGCTCAAAAAATACAAAGGACTCCTGGGACAGTGAGTGTATGTTAATGGAGGAACACAACCCAGAAGAGAGGTGAGGGCGTCTTTGCACCTTGAAGAATGTAGTCAGTGCCACTCAGTTATACAAGTAGAAACTGGAATGTCAATGTAGGCTGTGTTGGGTATATCCTCAATAATAACAACAACAACACATTTTTAAACGCTAAAAATTCATGGAATGCAAATTAGTCTGGCCTGTGTAAAGCATTTCCCTTAAGGCGAGGGATTGTTTGTGCAGATTTATTCTTACATCTCCTCTACAAGCACGTGCTAGCCCAACGTATAGCTGAGGATGCAAACACTAAGCGAGCCTTAGCAATGGGGCCGCCCCTGCTATAGCTTCCGGTCACACGCGAGTCCCCAGGGATCCAGAGTGAACTGGAAAGAGGCAGCTGCAACACAGGCGGGCCATCCACAACCGTGGAAATACCTCACCATGACCAAAACTGGGTGTCACCTTTCAATCCAGACCACCTCTTGAAGCAAGGGGTTATCTGATCTAAGTGAGACCATTATTACTGCCATCACGTAAGGAGGACGGGGGCTAGCCAGGTGGTTTAGGCACGCGTGGCTTAACCAACCCTGGCCTGTGTGTGACTCCCTAGGGTCCTCCACAAGCAGCCTGGTCCCGGCCCCTGAGCTGGGCCCCCAGCCCTCCGTGCAAGTCCAGGCACAGGTGAACAACAGCAACAACAAAAAAGGCACCTTCACAGATGACCTGCACAAGCTAGTGGATGAGTGGGCCAGCAAGACAGTGGGCACTGCACCGCTGAAGCCGTCACTCAACCAGTTGAAGCAGACCCAGAAGCTACAGGACATGGAGGTCAAGGTGGGCCTGACCCCGGCAGCCAAAGAGGTTCGGACTGTAAGTGGGGTCAGGGGAGGGGGGTGCACAGAGTAGCGTGAACAACAGGCAGCAGCCACAGCATTCTTAGGGTACCACCTGCAGGCGTTTTGCTAAGTTCTTACCTCATTTTCCAAACTCCTCTTCTCAGTCGCCCCATGGCTTAGGTTTCCCCACTTTATAGCTAGAAAATATTAGGGGACCTGCCCACATTCCCACAGATGCTAGATTGGAGGGCAGGGAGTCAACCTCCCCAGGTTCTGCGGAACCAGCCCGAGGCCGTCCAAGGCTGGGATGCAGCCTCCTCTAATCTGTGCCTTTTGTCTGCCTACACATTTCCAGCCCTTCCCAGGAAAACCTCAAACTTATGTGCTTCACTGCCTGGGGGAATATGGGGCAAGGGTTGAGCTCCTGGTTATCTGTTTAGGGTTTTATATTCACATTCATGAATGAAAATGACCTATAATTTCCTTGCTCTTAATATCCTTAGGTTATGTAATGCAATGATTGTTTCTATCAGGATTATGTCAACTTGAAAACCTAAATGGAGGACTAGGCCCTTTTCCGGTTTTCAGGAGATATTTGTGTAAGATTTATGTTCGAGCTTCTTAAACTATTGAATGAAGTTCATTGATGAAGTCATCCGGACTAAGGAAGTATTTTTTGTTTGTTTTACATGCGGGAAGATATCCTCTTATTTAGAAAATTTTCAAATTATAAAAAAGTTGAAAACTCTCTAATGAACTCATGTGCTCAGAATCTTCTATAACTGGGATTTTGCTGTTTGTTTTGTTTCTAATCCTTTACCCATGACAGTAAAGTTTTTAGTAGAGATTCAATTTCTTTACAATTTTAGTTCTGTTGGATTTTTTCTCTTAGGACCATTTTATTGCCTTCTGCTTTTCTAGTAATCCTTCCATTTCCCCTATATTTATGTATACTCATATTTTCAAATGCATTGCCATAAAGTTATTCACAATACCTTCTCTTTTTAAAATCTGCAAGATTTGCAATAAATGTCCTTTTATCTAGCTAGCTCTTTCCTAAGTCGTCTCGCTAGTGGTTTACAAATTTCATTAACCTTCTCAAAGAACTCAGTTGGACTTCTATGATATTCTTTATTGTATGTTTGATTGATCTCTTGTTATTTCTTTTCCTCTATCTTTGGGTTAATTTTGTTGTTCTAGAACATTTCTTGAAATGTGTAGCTCATTGACCTCTGGCCTTTCTTCTTTTGTAGTATGTGCATTGAAGGCTAGAGATTACCTCTAATGGTTTTAGCTGAATCCCAAAGTTTTGATGTATAGCACTTTCATTAGCATTCAGTTCAACATGTTTTGTAACGTCCACTACAATTTCTTCTTTATAGTAAGTACAGTTATCGTTTAATTATATTTTTGCTAGTAATTTTAAACTAATTCCAATGTGGTGTTTAAAAACACTTTATATGATTTTAGTCCTTTGAAATGTGTTGGTCTTAACTTTACGTCCCCACATATCAGTCTCTGTAACTGTCCTTCAGAAATCAAAGTGCCTCTCTTTATCCCCATCTCCACTCTATTAGCCTCCCCCAAACCACCCTTATTTCTCTTCTTAACTACTGCAGAACCCTCTTAACAGGCAGGTTTACATCAGTCTGACTCATCTCAAATCCATTCTTTAATGAAACCCTAGGATTCTTCAAAACAGTTCATGATCCTTACAGTAGCCACCACAGCCCTGCGTGGTCTGCACCCAAATATCTGTCTAGGCTTACTGCTCCTTTGCTGTCTGGGTCCCAACCACATGGACCTTCTTTAAATTCATGTACTCATCAGGTCAGCTGTACTAATTCTGTTGTTCAGATCTACTTTATCATTGCTGATTTTGTATGTGTGTTTGTGCATTGTGTATTTTGTCAGTTATTGAAAAGGGCATGTTAAAATTTCCACTGTCGTTGTATAGTTCTATTAAAATTCTGTCATTTTTGTTTTATATATTTTGAAATTGTTATTAGGTGAATTCATGTTTGAATTTATGATTTCTCCCTTGTGAGTCAAACTTTTAATATTATGAAGTGTTATTTCTTATGCCTTCTGACTTAAAATCGACACCGTCTGAAGTTGCTATACCTACACCTCTAGGTGTTGTGCTATTATTTATATGGTGTGTATTTTTCGTCTTTCAGCTCCAAGCATTCCATATCATATGCTTTAGAAGCGCCTTTTTTCGACAGCTTATATAATTGGGCTTTGCTTTATTTTTTAATCCTAGTTGAAAATCTTTGTCTTGATTAAAATATCAGTTTATTTGTATTTAATGTGTGTATGTATTTTTGCTTGAGTCCATCATTGTACCATTTGTTTTCTATTTGTCCCATCTACTGGTGTTTCTTTTCTCTCATTTTTGCTTTGCTGTGAAGTGGTGGCTTCCCACTGCATTGGCTTGATTCCAATTTACAGTGACCTCTATAGAATTTCCAAGACCGTAAATCTTTACAGGAGAAAACAACTTCGTCTTTCTTTGTATTGGTTAAGTGTGTTTTGTTGTTTATTTTTCCTCCCATGACTAGCTTGGAAGCTTTCTTTTCTCTCACTATTCAATCATTGATTAACCTGTTATAACATCTATCTTTAAATTGTCAAAGTCAAGTGGCTGCGACAAGGAGCTCAAACGAACATTTGTGAGGCTGTCATAAGACTAGCCAGTGTTTCATGGTTGTACATCAGGTTACTATGAGTTGGAACTGACCCAACAACAACTAACAATAATTATGCCAATTTTTTATCCCTTTTCCAAGGGCCATAAAACATTTTAACTACATTTTCTCCTACCCTGACTTATTTTTTAATTTTATATAAATTTAAAATCCCACAATACATTGCTATCCAATGATTATTATTTTGCATGTGTTTACTTATTTAGCGTTTGGATAGTTCCTTCTTGTCTCCAGTCTCCCACTTAGGGCGATTTTCCTTCAGGATTTCCTTTAATGTAAGTCTACCAGTGACATTTCTCAGATTTTATCTGTCTATAAGTGTCTTTATTACATTGCCATTCTTGGAGGATCTTTTATATCCGAGGTATAGGATTCTAGGTTGGTAGTTATTTTCGTTAAGCATTTAAAAGTGATCATTACATTATTATTTTTGTTGAAAGTAAGCTGCCAGTCTGCTTGTTGCTCCTTTAAAGTTGATAACCCTCTCCTCTTGCTTCTAATAAGTTCATTTCAAGAAATTCTTTATGCAGTCCCTAGGAATAGACTTTTTGGTTTCTTGTTTTGAAAGTTTTTCTGCAACAGGCTCATCAAATATTTATTACAATCATCAAAAGCAAAGCCAAGAAAACTCATTGCTATTGAGACCATTTTGACTCCAGAGGACAGAATAGTAGTGCCGACGGGCTTCCTAGGATGTCTGGTCTTTATGGAAGCAAATAGCCACATTTTTCTCACACCAAAAAGCTCAAAAATCAAACTTACTGCCATCGCATCCATTCAGATCATGACAGCTCCATAGGACAGGGGAGAATTGCTCTGGTGGGCTTCCAAGACTGGAACTTTTCATAAATAGTTTTACTGGCATATACTGTACTTATCATACAATTTAATCATTTCATCATATTAAGAATATTTGTGCAATCTTCACACAATCAATTTCAGAACACAATCAATTTTCTTCTCTTACTCATTGTTGCTAGCTATCCAATCCCCCGCCCCTCAATAGTTCTCAACCTGTGGGTCACAATCTCTTTGGGGGTTGGATGACACTTTCACCAGGGTCGCCTGATTCATAACAGTAGCAAAATTACAGTGATGAGGTAGCAATGAAAATAATTTTATGATTGGGGGTCACCACAACATGAGGAGCTGTATTAGAGGGTCACAGCATTAGAAAGGTTGAGAACCATTGCCCTAGCCAATTCTATCCTGGATTTCTTATGCAGAAAATCATACAAAACAGAAACAGAAAGCAAACAAGCAAAAACCAACAATAATGACTAGATAAAACATACAAAAAGTCAATCTGAAAGAAAACAGAAAATATTAAAACAAACAACTTTAGAATGGGGCAAAGGGGAGAGCAAAAGATTAGGTATTTGATTTTAACCTAACTACGTCTGCCATAGTCAACTTTACAATGTTCTCCGGTAGCAAGGCTAGTCACATCGCTGGACTGTGGTCAGAGAGGATTCACTGGAAGCTTACTCCATGTGTGGACCCTGCAAATGGATTTTGGCCTTCACTGTCATCCATAGCCTTCTGCCAACAAGGTGTTCACAATTTTAAGCGCTGATACCATTCCCTCCTTCAGGTTTAGATTTCATTGTTTACAATCCATGGATCGCACAGGCTGGTGTGCTTCTTCCATGTGAACTTTGTTGACATCTCACTTAAAACTGCTTGCTTTAAGACTAACCCTTTAAGACCTCAGACACTATTCTTTCTGATAGCCAGGCATCACCACCTGGTTTCTTCACCACACTTTACTGTAGCACCCATGTCTTCAGTGAT